GGGTGTGGGTCCCCTGTGACAGCACTCACCACAGCAGACCTGCCTAGTCACTTTTCCCCCTTGCCTTTAGATTCGGTTCTGTGAGCCCAGGGCCAGCCACAGCGCAGGCACCAGTGCCAACCCTCGAGGCCTTCTAGGCTAGGCGTCTTCCTTACCCAAAGGCTCCAAGGTACAACTGTACTGTGAATTGGGGGGAGGGGTCTGAGAACAAAACCTGGGCAGTGATGAGTGTGTCTAGAGTGTGTGTGTAGCTGGAAGATCTAGGGCTGTTCGTTTTCACAGACCCTGAGGGCTTGTTGACACTAGTCAAGCACTCTACCAACCGAGCTGTGCGTACTCAACCGAAGATTTTAACCCAATCTGCCTGCTACCTGCTGAGTATGTGTGAACTCTGGTTTCTTCACGGACTAAACCAGCCAATTTTTCTTCTAAAATGTCACGGTTCTGAGTTCCAGGACTTACTCTTATTCCCTAAAATCAGGCCAATCTGTCTAAGTCCCTGTGTGGCGGGTGTCTTGACCTCCGCTGAGTGTCTGTGCGACTTCCCATCAGATCCCATCCATCTGGGCCCCACCCTCGATCCTCTGGGGACCAGCATCTCCAGAACCCTGAGCAGATCCTAGGCCTCTCCATATACAGTCCCCAAGAGAGTCTGACGTACACATGCAACTACTAATCAGAATTGGGGGTTCACTGACTTCTAAGAGAATCTAAGTGTGTTTCTCTCAGCTAATGACTCCATGGATTACGGAGACGCTTTTATATCGGATGGATGGATGGATGGATGGATGGATGGATGGATGGATGGATGGGTGACAGACAGATGGATGAAGCCTGTTTTTTATTGCTATCCAAAGTACACGTGTTACTGCTTGGACCTAGTGGTGTTTTCAACAGAAACAACTCTTTGTATGAACAGGCTAGGCAATGCATTTAGCTGGGGAAGAGAGTGGGGGTTATTTCAGCTGACAGGGGAGCTGGTACAGAAATGTTTTTTCTTTCTTTGTCTGTTTATCTATGCGTGTGGCATATGTATGTCTGTGTGTATACATGAGTAAGCCAGAGGGTCGACACAGGGTCTCTTCCCCTCTTGAGCTCCACCTTAGTCTCTGAGACAGCATCTCTGGTTGAACCCATAAGCTCACACACTGGCTAGATTGGCTGACCAGTGAGCCCGGGACCTGCCTTCTCCACCTCAGCCCTGGGGTTGCAGACGTGTACCCCTGTACTTGGCTTTGCCGTGGATGCTGGGGAGCCAAACTTGGGTCCCCACACTTGCAGAGTACTTTCCTGACCCAGCCTGAGACCCTCTTTCTTTTTGTGGAGTGGCTTTGGTGAGGGGCTAAAGCACTGGCTTTGGAGCCCACATTTTAGGTTCAAGTCCTGTTCCCATCACCTAGATGCTGGTGTCTTGGCTGGTCCAGCAAATTTTCCAAGGCTCACCTTCTTGGTCCAAACAATGGAAATAAATGCACTGCCTTCTAGAAATGAGGTTCGGATTAAATGGTACAGTGTGCAGAAAGCACTCAGCACAGTACCCAACACAGAAGTGAAGTGCTTACTGCCAAGCAGTAGCTAGCTCACCCAGCAAATGCAAAATTCGGCACACCTGATGGGTAACAGCAACACGTGTCTTCCCGGATAGCGCTTTGTAGACAACAAGGGTCATTCCATTTTACCCTAGTCATCCAGCAAAAAAAACACCCGAGGTGGGCAAGGCCCCCACGAGTGACCCTACTTTGCTGAAAGGGAAACAAAAGCCCAGGAGGCCCCACTGGCTCCAGATCAAACAGCAAAAGAAAGTGCCTGTGTCTGAATCCAGTCTTGGGCGTGATTCTGTGAAGATGAATAATTACTCATGCACACTGGGCAGGCTGCGCGTCTCGGGCCCATCTGGCTTCGCAGCTCGAGGACGGCCGTGTTTCTAAGCAGCTTTTTTTAGACGAGATCAAGATGGGAGAGAGGAGCTGGCAAACTGCTTTCCCTCGTTTTCCAGGCTGGCATGATTTGTGCTCAGCTCTGCCCTCCTCCTCATTCCCAAATGCTTCTTGCCTGTGGCTTCCCAAAGTTCTCTGAAGCTGCTCTTGGCTGGATGGCCAGCCGCTAGCTCTGCCCTGGCTCCTCAGCTAGGATCTGGGGAAAAGCAAAAAAAGGGGAACAGGGGCAGCTGCAGGAGACATCAGAGAGCTTGGGCCAACACCAGCTGGTCACGAGTCTGGGTAGGGAATGAGGAGCAGATAGAGGCCAAAGGGCAGGGTTCCTGCTGCCTCTGTCAGTTAGCAGGGGGGTGTTATTCCCCGTCCAACAGATGGGCCCTGGAATCATGTAATGAAGTAGAACATTCACTGTGGCACAGACCGCTGCTCTCCCGGGAGCACGAGGCCCGGAGATCAAATGTTGACTGAATGCAATCAGGACACTTCATTGAAGAGGTAGGCTGGCTGGGAGGGGCAGACCAGCCTGAAGCTCCAGGGGTATCAGGGGTATCGAGGTGCACCTGAAGGGGGCTGGGAGGCCCTGAGAGTCAGCAAAGCACCGGGAGGGAGGGCTAGGGAATGGAAAGACACGGGAAGAGTGTGCAGAGGCCGGGACAGAGCAGACGAAATAAGGTACGATTCTATGGGCACCTTGTAAACTGTCAGGAGTGGCAGGCAGAGCTGAAGGGGCCTCAGACGAGCCAGCTCAACCGCTGCCGCCCCACATCCTGGTTCACAGAGAGGAAGGCTGGAATCCACAGAGCAACATGAGGTTGCACAGTGAGAGAGGGCGACAACCGACTGGGCAAGAACCCAGGGATCTCAGGAGAGGCCCATGAAGCCCTGTGCCCACAGAAGGCTAAGGAGAGACATCTTCTTCAGTGGTGTGGCCACCGGTGGGGTGTCCACACTCTTGGGAATGCCTCATCCTTACCCATGCTTCTGTAAAGAATCCTCCGTGAAGTCACTGAGACAGGGCACACACGCACAACATGTGTGCTTGAACACACACACACACACACACCACACACACACACACACGCACCATCAAAACAGAAAGAGGACCAGTTAGGAAGAGCTATCAAAGGGAGGGAGGGGCTGGAGGGGGGTGACTGATAAAAATATACTTTATCTATGTGTGAAAACGTTGTAACCAGGAGGCTGGAACAAGGCTCAGTGGCTAGAGCATAGACTGCTCTTGCAAAGGACCCGGGTTCAGCTCCCAGCACCCACGTGGTGGCTTGCAACTCTCTGTAACTTCAGTTCCAGAGGAACAGACGCCCTCTTCTGGCCTCTGTTGAATCCTGCATGCACGTGGGACTTCTAAACACAGAACACAAACACATACGCAGTAAGAACAATAGCGCTAATAACATTCCGGAAAAATTATCAAAAGAAAAAAAAATAAAAACCACAAAAGAAAATATCACGATGCAATCTATCGCCATGCATAATTAGCACTAACAAAATCTAGAAAAAAAACCCCAAAAACTCAGGGCTCCAACCGACTGATTTGTTCTTGCCACTAGACAGCCCACCCTGCCAGCCTGGGGTTTTGGCACGAGGACCGTGCTTCAGATGGACCTGGCCACAGAACACAGGGGCCTGAGGGACTAGTCCAGGGCCCTGTAAACAGGAGTGGGGGCGTGAGCAGCTGTCAAGTAGACTCAAGGCAAATGGAGAGGACTGGTCGGTGTTAGACCCACCGTTTCCAGGAAACAAGGGGCTTTGTAGTTATAGGGGGTAGAAGTGAAGGAGAGCATGCAGAGGTGACTCATTGGTCACTCTCAGGGTGGGGCCTTTCTCCCAAGGACACAGGGGACTTGACCCACTGACCCCAGCCTCAAAATCCACAGACAAAAATTAGCCAGCCTCTGCAGCCGTTCTTCCATTTGACATTTAAAGATTTATTTATTTATTTAATGTATGCGTGGTTCCCTGAGTTTTGGTGCACATGTGCATGGAGAAACCCTCGGAGGTCAGAAGAGAGCTTCAGACTCACCCAGAACTGGGGCTACAGGCCATTGTGGGTCATCATATGGACGCTGGGAATGGGACCCTGGTCCTCTGTAAGAGCAGTGGGTTCTCTTAACTACAGACCTATCTTTCCCGTCCACCTGCTGATGTTTTAGAACTTGGGCCTGTGTTTGGATGATTAGGTGTGCAATTAAAACCCAAATCAATCCATTAGTGTAAGCTACTGGGTGAGAGGCCTGCAGGGTTCCAACCGTGCTGTGAACTTTGATTTCTGGTGTAAGAACCAAGAAATCAGAGCAAAAAACAATGGGAGGGTGTCTCTCTTCACGGAGCTTTAGGCCAGGGCTGCACTCTGGCAGGCACTCCACCAGAATGGGATTTATTGATTTATTTATTATTTAAATTTATGAGTGCGCTATCTGCATGCACAACTGAATACCAGAAGAGGTATTGTTGTGAGCCTCTGAGCCGTCTCTCCAGCCTCCGAGATATGTATGTATGTATGTACAAATTTACGGTTTTTTTTTTTGACAGGGTTTCTCTGTGTAGACTTGGTTTCTCTCTTTTAGTCCTGGACTCACTTTGTAGTCTAGGCTGGCCTCAAACTCACAGAGATCCGCCTGCCTCTACCTCCCCAAGCGCTGGGATTAAACGCGTGCCACCTCGCCCAGAATGTGTATGTTTTACGCAGACAACTATTTCAGAGAGGCAATGGTTTCTGGCTTATGGGATAGGTCTACAGAAGGGTCCCCTGGTCTGCTGCTGCTGGACACGTGGGCCATTAGCACAATGAATGGACAGGTCCTCTGTCAGGAGGTCCTAGGTCTCACAGCTTTGCACCTGTATTATTTTTGGGTCTCAGAAGTGAGGTCACAGGTGCTATGGCTCCCAGGACCAGCCCAAGGTGGCATCTTCTTTGGGAGAGTCCTGTGGGCACTGGGGAACTGGACTCTGGACCCACTTGGGGGCTAGAATGTCCATTCTAGACCAGTATGTGCTCTCTGGGAAAGAGATTCTGCGGGCTACGGAAGAAGACCAGCCAGCGACTTCAGAATAGACAGGCTTTTTAATAGTACAGTCAACAGTGACAGTGTCGACTTCAAGTGGGCAGACGATCACGTCAACAAATCTTGAAGGATGAAGATCATACGGGCCATTCTTACCATGAGACATTTAATACACGAATAATTAGAAAGCGCACGTGTGGGAAACAGGAAGCGTACATCTAATAACCCATAACCGAGTCTAAGAACATCCCCTCACTCATTATCCCAACTGTTTGGAAGGAAGGCCCTCACTACACACATTCAGAGATGGAGGTTGGAAAGATAACACAGCATGCTCTGATTTACACGGTGGAGCCAGAACTCAAGGCCCAGCTGTGCGGCCGCAGAGCCATGACTCTGAGGAACCTCCTGATGCGTGCACGTCTCTCTCTGCTGACCTTGGCCTACTGTGCAGAGATGCATTTCTGTTCTGGACTTGCCCCTCCAGCGTTCCCTCCTTGGACTCGGGTGATGTGTCTTGTATGGTAGAGATACAGTCCTAGACGGGCCTTCCCGTAGAGCTTGGAACTCTGGGAGACTTCCTTTCTTTGCAAGGGTTTTCCATGTGGGCACATCAGTGAACAAAGGGAAACAGAAAGAAAATTCACTCCCAGATGGTTCCCCGACCTGCTCTAACACAGACTAAATAGACCAGGTAGGACAACACACCATCAGGCAAACGTGAGAGTAGGACTGTTTCTTGACTTAAACTGCGGACGATGGCCTCAAAAACACAAAACACAACAGACGGCTGGAGCACCCAGGTTTGGAGCAAGCTGGTGGCTCATGGCATGAGGGCTAAGAGGCAAGACCACGCTGACCTCAGATAGAGATCTGGAGCTCCCTAGAACATTCCCAGAGTTGAGCTGGCCAACCCAGTGCCCTCGGTGGCCTGTGCAAATGGTGCCTCGGCTGCATTAGTATCCCACCACCAAGCTTAACCTACCCAGGATGCTTCCTGACAAGACACACCCGTGAAACCTCAAAGACGCCGAGCTTCCGAGTGACTCGGCTGTGGCTGTGTTCTGAGGACAATACTGTTTGCCACACCCGGGGCTCCTACGAATAACAGTACGAGGTGCCCATGGCTGTTTTGCATACAGCAAGAAGACTGAAAAGTAAGTGGGAAACCAGTTACCCAGTGTTTCCCTGGGGAGAGACGGCACGTGGAGAGTGCCAGGCAGGGATGGAAAGCCCTAAGGTTTCCCTCAGGCCTTTGGCATCACGAGGCACGGTGAGAGAGTGGGCTTGCCCAGTCTGCACACATGGGCTCCACGGGGCTCGGCCTGGGGCTCAGCCAGTCTCCCCCTACAGCTTGTTCTCTTGGCCCAGCGTCAGAAAGTCAGCTTGCCAAGAGCAGGGGCTGCGGCTCGGACACAACAGTGGCGGCCTAACCTTCAGGGCAAACACTGTGAAGTCAGCCCAGGTGGCTACCCCGGCTCCAGTGTGGTTTCCTTGAGATGAGCACCCGGACACCAAGTGCCCTGGGCGTGGGACTGTCAAGGCCCAGCGCCAATGGCTCCTCTCGCTGTGAACTCCACATGGTAACTGTGGCCAGAACAGCAGAAACGGTCCGTGGCTAGAGAGAGCTCAGCTGATCAGGCACACACTGCTCTTATTTAAAACAAACAGGTCCCGGACTGTCACTGGGACCCGGTCCTCTGCACGTAAGTACATCACAGCCATTAAGTCAGGCATAACCACTCACGTCAGATCCCCAGCGCTGAATGAAACCAGGCAGAGTGGCAGTGTTTTGTCATTCAGAAGGAGGGTCATCCTCACTCTAAAGTAAGTTCAAAGCCAGTCTGGGATATGAGCCCTTGACTTAAAAAAAAAAAATCAACTTCCCAATCAGCCAGTGATGTGTATTCTGTTCTGAGGTGTGTTTAAGATCAGCGAGTCCAAGTGCCCAGTTGCCCAATCAGCTGTCTGATTACATCTTCTCGGTGTGTGAAAAAAGGATCCTGCCGACAGGTTACAAGTACCCTGGGGCAGTTCCTGAATGGAAACTCTGCTCAAGCGACCTACAAACGGCCAGCCGTGCCTAGAGACAGGTATTGTGGGGACCCCTGGATGAGCCGGGGTCCGATGCCGTCGATGAAGCTGCTCCACTGATCGTAGTCCTCCTTCAGGTCTGCATGGGCACAAACAGGAAGGAGGGTTAGGCAATCCTCTGCGGAGTCAGGCTTGAACAGCCCCTGTGGGGTTAGCGGGGTGTCCCAGAGAGAGGAGCAGCTGGGATAGCGGCCTCCCAGGCAGCTGGGGAGAGAGGTCCAGGAGTCAGGGCAGCTGGGTCTACCCGGATAGGCATGGAGAGGCCATGCAAGAGCTGTGGCTTCCAAGGAGAGACAGGCGGAGGGAAGAGGTGCTGGAGGCACGGGAGGTGTGCGATGTTCAGGACAGCAGGCGAGGGAGGAGAGGTGGAAGAGCGGTCTTGAGTAGCTAGCAGAAGGAAGCAGGGATCTTACTGGGAGGGTGGCACTTAGCACTGGGAGGCGTCAGGTAGGAGCTGAGAGGCGCTGTTGAGCCACGTCTGGCCCATTTTAGTTCCCCATGTGACAAGGCACTGCGGAGTCACCTAAAAGCTTCCTTTCTTTTGCTTTTTAATGATTTATTTATTTTTAAATTTCATATACATTCGTGTTTTGCCTGCATGTAAGTCTGTGTCATATGTCTTGGAAATGAAGTTACAGACAGATGTGAGCTGCCATGTGGGTGCTGAGAATTGAACCTAGGTCCCCTTCTGGAAGAGCAGCCAGTGTTCTTCACCCCTGAGCCATCTCTCCAGCCCCTAAGAGCATCCTTTCACTGTAAAGCCAGCTGATGGAAGATGCGGCACCCTCACTCAGGCTTTGTTTTCTCTCTGCTCACCTGGGATACCGTGAGAGCCTCCATGTTACCCACACTCTTGGCTCTCAACTCTCCATCCCACCCACCCTCTCCACGCAGCTAGACCACAAGCCTGTCCAACCATGCCGTTCTCCTGCCTCTAACCTACCGCAGGCTCCTCACAGCCGGAGGAGGCAGATCCCAAGACCTTCAGCAAACCCAGAGACCGCTGTTTCCAACTTCAGCCCACTTCATCTTTTCCCTTCAACGGCTCCGTCCTGAGCTCTGGATTTTTGGGAACAGTTTCCCCAAACTACTGTCCCTTCCCTCCCTGTGGCCTCTCTTCATCAAACAAGACCAAAGCCAGAACTGCCTTGTCTGGGCATCCTCTTCCCAGGCTGTTCTCCCCTTCCCTCTAGTCCCCTGGGTCCTCCTAAGCAGCCACTGTATGCCTGTGATCAAAGACATGACAACACAGCACAGCAAAGACGGGACACGGGCTGTGGAGCGTGAGAGCCAGGCTGCAGGCTGCCATTGCATAACACCAGATAGCCTTCAACAAACTGCAGGTTACAGAGCTTCTCTACGCTTCAAGGTATTCATGTGAGAAAATGAAGTACTAAATAAAAGAACGACCGGAAAGGGCCATCTTCAGAATTAGACATGACAGATAGTGCATCTAGAGCGCCGAGAGCGGCAAGTATTGACGGCATCAGCGCCCGCAGCATGAGGCCGAATCACCAGCGAGATTCCTCCGGCCACGACTCCTGCCTTCCACCTCCTCCTCTGCTGTCTCTCCCCTTGACTGTCTCTAAAAGGTAGCACTGCGGGCTCCCTGCCTCGAGACTGGACGCCTCAAATTCACCAAGGTCTACCTGCTTCTGCCTCCCGGGTGCTGGGACTAAGGAAGTGTCACCACCCCGGCAGCCCCCACCATCTTTAACCTCCGACTCCTATAGTGACGTGTGCCCAGGGGAAACAGGAGGTGTGGGCTCAGGACCAGGGAGCAGGAAGCACTCAAGTCTTGGGAGTTGGGTCTGCCCCTTCCTATCAGGAGAGGACACACGTCTCTGTAAACCCCGGCAGGCCTCTACAGAGCAGCTCTTTGCTCATGATTTGCACGGTGAAATGAGCAGATATAAACAGACATGCAAATTTGGCTCAAAGTACCAACGCGTTCTTAGTAGGACAGGCATATTTTAAACATGAGCACAGTCCCAACCAAATGGGTTGCACACGTTGTGGGAAATGCGAATGAAGCAGGTTGTCCAGAGCCCTGACTGGAACACAGCACATGTCTGAGCAGCGCCTCTCCCAGCAGGACTCTCTTTAGAAGAAGCCCTGACACAGCAGGGCGAGGGTGCACACCTTTAATCCCAGCACTCAGCACTCAGGAGGCAGAGGCAGGAGGATCTCAGAGTTCCAGCATGGTCCACAGAGTGAGTTCCAGGACAACAGAGCAACACTGTCTTGAAAAACCGAAGGAAGCCCTGATAGAGTGCACCCAAAGGAAGGTGATACTGGAACCTACGGGGACTTGAACAAGGAACTGCTGCAGGTCCCATGGACATTAGCTTAATGAACAGAGGACATGACGGGGGACCACAAAAGAGCTGCCATGTGCATCTAAGGCATCTCTGGTCAGCTCTTGTGATAACTAGAGCAACTGTGTATGCGCATGGCGGGGAGGAGGTGGGGGGGTACGTGTGTGTGGTGTGTGTGTGTGTGTGTGTGTGTGTGTGTGTGTGTGTGTGTGTGCTTAGAGTTTGAAGCACTTTCATCTGGCTGCCTCCTGATGAAAGTGACTGGTGCGGGGTCAGCTGCATGAGGGTCATGGTACCCTCCCTCCACGCTGACTGCATTGAAAGGCCACGTGATCAAGAAAGCTCCAGGCTGGGGCTGGACAGTGACCAACAGTGTGTTTTGGTGGGCGAAGGTGAGCTGACACAAGCACCTCTCTTGGGAATCTGGTGTTAAGAGAGAATTGTAAGTGGTGTAATAAGGTTCCCCCCCACGGCTTACTCCCCAAATACAGCTGTGACAGTGGAGCGGAAGAGGCAGGTGTGAGCCCGCAAGGACAGTGAACCGGCCGCCGGCGGCAAAAGCTAGGCCAAGTTCTGAGGAAGCAAAGACTGAACAAACCGACGCTTCAGGGGTAGAATAAAAGAGCGCAGAAAGAAAGAAGCTGAGGAACAGGAAGGAAACAGGAAACCACCCATCCTGCAGTGACCTCTGCCCCCTTGACTGTGCTGCCCACGGGGACCAGGAATACCTCATAAGCATATTTTCACTTGTTTTTTTTTTTTGTTTTTTTTTGAGGTAAATTAAAATTTTAGTCTTCATGGCCAAAAAAAGTAATGAGACCATCAACTCCTTTTTGCCATATTTGTGTTCGTGTGCATGTGCGTGAGCACATGCCACAGAGTGTGGGGGCCGGGAAGACAACTGTGCGGTCAGTTCCCTCCTCCTATTCTGTGGGTTCTGGGGACTGTACTCGGGTCATCAGGCATGGGCCACAAGCCATTTCCCGTGGGGTCAGCTCACTAGCCCCTAGAAAATCACCTCAAGCAATCAAATTCCCAGTGGAGGAGCCGGCTTGCTGGTCCATCAGAGAAGACAGCTTCTCTGGGTAGAGGCGACACCAGAGACCTCGAGGGGCTTTGGGATTCAGGGGGTCTGTGACTCATGATACTGGTCACAATCTGCCCAGTTACTTGCATAAAGACTCCACAGTGGACACAGCACCGACAAGTTTGGGGGCAGAGGTGGTGGAGCAGAGAGAGGTGACTGTGCAGTCACAGTGAGGGTGCCTCGGCTCAGAAAGGTTAGAAGATCAGGCCGAGGTCACTCACCTCCTAGGTCAGGGCCTAGAGGGGCAATCCATCAGGGATGATTTTTCTGTGTTGCTAAGCATCGCTTCTTCAGTCAGGCTTCCATTTGCCATAAATCCCCTGGGTCCTGGGCCTGTCACGACAGGACCCGGGGACCCCACATGCGCTCCATAATGCCCCTGTGTCTCCTTACCAAGGTGCCTCTGCAGGAAGGCCAACATGGCCCGCACCATAACCTCCTGACCTTCGTAAGGGTTCAGCGTCCCACGCGTGTGACTGGAGAAGAACTTGGCGATCATGCCGCCTGTCAGGAAAGCAAAGTCACTTTGACTCCGATGAACGATGCCCCTAAAGAGAAAGAAAAACAGCCCAAAGGGGGTGGAGGTTAGGCTCACGCATCAAGCACCTACTGTGTGCAAAGCACCTGCCTGTGTGTCATGCCCGACTCTCCCAGCCACCCTGTCAGGGAAGTATTTTCCTGTGTGACAGAATCTGGGGAGGGAACAAGTGACCCTGGACAGCACTAGGATTTGAACTGAGGTATGCCAGGCTGCAAAGCTGGCTTGATGTCTAGATCACCATGGTGGACAGTACAGAGGCAGAGCTGAGGGTCCCGCCACCTACTGCTCCTACCGTTTCACGGCTGTTCTCCAGTGACCCGAAGGCCCATAAAACATTTAACCTCACTGCCAGAACTGTGCCATGGCGTCAGCAGGGAGAGGAAACACCTGCTTTTCGTTACATAATCACAGCAGAGAGGGCATGGAAAAATGGGTTTTGGATTAAATCCTTTGCCTGTAAGTGCAGCATTCATTCACCCATCTATTCATCCATTCATTTATTCACTGGTGGTAGTGAAGACTGACCCAGGACCCCCAGCCCTCTAAATACATTTAATTCACACGTGATATCCTCACTGGATTCCTATTGAGCTAAATTATTCATAACTCAAATGAATGTGGCATGGAAATCCAAATAGTAAAATACCTGTCTCACGTGTAAGAAAAGAAAAGATTAAAAAAAATTAGATCTACTCGTTTACTTGTGTGAGTGTGTGCATGTGTGTGTGGTACATCTGGATGGCGGAGGACAGCTGGCAGGAATCAGTCCCCCTCCCACCGTGCAGGTCCCAGGGACAGAATTCCACATTCAGGCTTCCTGGCAGGTGCCTCTACCTGCTGGACCATCATGCCAGCCTACAACTGTTTTGTAAGGGCACATGAAAAAGGTGTGTAGAATGATAGACGCTTGAGTATTCAGAACTGGGTTTAAAAAATACTATTCTGGGGCTGGAGAGATGGCTCAGTGCTTCAAAGCCCTTGTTCTTGCAGAAGACCCATGTTCTATTCCCAGCACCCACACAGTGGCTCACAACAGTCTGTGACTCCAGGTTTAAGAATCCAACACCCTCCTCTGGCCTCCATAGGGCACCAGACACACATACGCAGGAAAATATAATATATATATTAAAATAATTACATCCGAAAAAAATGGGGTTGAGACAGGGTCTCACTATGTAGCTCTGGCTGTCCTGGAATTCACTACGTAGACCAGGCTGGCCTCGAACTCACAGAGATGTGACTCTGCCTCCCAAGTACTTGAATTAAAGATATACACCACCACATGCAGCTCTTAAAAAACTTTTATAGAACAGACTGCCTATTGTTAAGTCTCCTTTGTGTGCCCTGTCTCTTCCCTACAGATTCCACATGACCGAGTCTGACTGGCCTGGGAAAACATCCCCACCGTCCTGTCCCTCCAACACATGAAGTCAAAATGAAAGAAGAGGGCCAGGCCACGGTGAGCAAGAGAGGAAGCCACGGAAGCTGCTACGGCAGGCAGCGGGCACTTGGGGGCTTGGCATGGCAAGGAATTCAGCCGCCTAGCTCATTTCCAGGGTGCAGAACGCACAGCCAGTTGCCTTTTCCCCGACACTGGTGCGTGTGTGCTGCTTGGCTTGAGCAGGGCAGTGGCAGGTCAGGGAGGTCTCCGGCTGGCCCGAGTTCCGCATGCCTCCCACAGGGCCAGCACCTGAAGATGTGAAAGCCTGTTGTTCCCGAAGAATGGCAACCGCAGTGCCATGAGCAGGTGAGGAGAATGCAGTTTACTTGGCCAGCAGAGAAGAGGTTTATTTGGTTTGGATATCATGTTGATGCCCCGGTTGAGCTTTCCATCCCCGTGCCTCAGCTTCCTACGTGCTGGGATTACAAGCATGCGAACCAGGCTCAGCTTGCATAGATGGCTTTTAGAAGAAGGCCTAGTCTAGGATAACCTCAGTGAACAGGATATCCATGGGAATTCTACAAATCCCCTCAAACTGTCAACTCCTACTACATCCACAGTCTTCAAAAAAAGTAAGATTCCTGTAGGAGGCTAGAGATGTCTGGACTCCACCCAGACCCGATACAGCCATTTTCCAGAAAGTACTAAGTTCATTCTATCATGCAGCCACCTGAACTGTGGAATAAATCTCGGTAGGTGGAACCTAGCAGAGACCGCAGACATCTAAATCACTACAGGATTGCAATGTGGGGGATTCTGGCCATACTCGGATGTTCTGTGAATATATAAAAAGTTCTGGATAACCTAGAAGAAAATGATTAAAAAGGGAACAGGACCCTGGGGTAGTCCCAGGGGGGCATACTTACAGGACAGTCACAATCCTGGACTGCTCATGCCGGGCACATATCTTCTTCATCAAGTTGACGCTCTCCACAGTCTGGAATTTCTCAGCGTTGATAAAGAACACAGGGCCCCGGGCCTTGGGGTAGAAGTCGTGTTCCAGAGGGAACATCCAAGCATCCAGGGCTATAGCACACCTGGGATAAGGCAGACACTGAGCGTCACTAAGAAACTCAGGCAAGAAGAATTAGGGAGCAGATGTCAGAATGGGACTCTTCTTGCCAATGGGAGGACGACTCAGAAAGCCAGGAACTGGGTGCTGGAACCCTCACTCTGTTATCATGATCCTACACAGGCGTCCCCTTCACCTGTCCCCACGGAGCCTCCTAGAATTTAGCCTCCCTCAGAAAAGGGGTGGACTTCCTTCTCTGGAGCTACCCTCAGGTGATGCACTCAGTTCTGCAGAATGTCACCTCTTTCATTTCATCTCTCAGTTCATTCATCCTCACTGAGTGACTGCTGTGGGTGAAGCCCTCTGGATGCAGAGATCAGTGAGAAAGGCTGTACATCCAGGACATTGTGGGGAGACGGGGGGCAGGACCGAGAGACTTTAAAAGTATCAGAACCACAGCTCTGAGCTCTGATGCGAAAGATGCTATATGAACCCAGAGCCTGGGTGACAGAGAACCCTGCCAACTTCCTTGGTGCCAAGGGCAAAACTGTGGCACTGTGACTCGGAGGCACACCCACTCCATCTTCTCCCTTTCAGCAGGGGACAGCCAGCCTTGCACTGTACCCATAAGGCCCCTGTTTGCCCTCCTCTTGCTCTTACATATCACCGTGGTCTGACGACTTGAATGCATCTGACTCCATCCATGCTCCCCCTCCTGCACCCCCACCCTTGTGCAAATTCATCCTCTCTTGGCTTTGCTCTGACTCAGCCCACATCCACCTAGCCTTCAGGGTGGTCTGCCATGTCTCACAGTAGCCAGGAGGCTTTTAAAGATATAAGATTAATTTTTTCTCTGCTTAAAATTATTTTTTTTAAATATTTATTTATTTATTATGTATACAATGTCCTGCCTACATGTACACCTCCAGGCCAAAAGAGGGCACCAGATCTCATTTTAGATGGCTGTGAGCCACCATGTGGTTGCTGGGAACTGAACTCAGGACCTTTGGAAGAGCAGCCAGTGCTCTTAACCTCTGAGCCATCTCTCCAGCCCTCTACTTAAAATTCTTTAGTGGGGTCTGGAGAGATAGCTCAGCAGTTAAGAGCACTAGCTACTCTTCCAGAGGTCCTGAGTTCAATTCCCAACCCCCACATGGTGGCTCACAACCATCTATAAAGGCATCTGATGCCCTCTTCTGGTGTGTGTACAGGCATACATGTAGCAGAGCACCCGTATACATAAAATAAATAAATAAAATATATTTTAAAAATTCTTTAATTGTGTTCTATTTTACTTTTTAAGATAGGGTCTTGTGCCACAGTGGTGACACACACCTGCAATCCCAGCACTCGAGAGGCAGAGGCAGGCGGATCTCTGTGAGTTCGAGGCCAGCATGGTCTACAGAGTTCATTCCAGGGTAGACAGGGCTACACAGAGAAACTCTGTCTTGGAAAAAAATAAAATTAAAAATAAAAGTAAGGTCTTTCTTAGGCTTGCTTTGAACTCTGTGATCCTCCTGCCTCAGCCTCCAGAGTGCAGAGGTATGGGTGCGTGTACCACGCCTCTTACCCTCTTCACTGCATTAAGTGCTAAAGCTTGTTAGGGCCTTTGCTAGCCACTTCCTCCCCATAACATAATATCTCAAAGTCAGACCTTTCTTTGCTGATCACCACTAAATCCCCAGCCCTTCAGAGGGCCCAGAACACAACCCTGTGTAACACATCCCGGCTGAAGGAATGGCTCATGAAGCTTGACCACGACAGCATCACTGGCACTCACCGAAACTGGACCTCCTGGCCCAAAGCAAGAATAGCTGTAGCTCCTCCAAACGAGTGTCCCATCACAGCCACACGGCTCATGTCGATGCTGCCCTGAGGAAAGCAGAGAACTTAGCCGAGCCAGACACTCACAGAGAAGCAACTGCAAGGGAATGAAGTGAGCTATGATGCCAGCCAAAGCTGCACCATCTGAGCCTCTGGCTGGAGCACGGTACCTACTAGCTTGATTCTCAGGCAGGTTGATGGCAAGTTCAAGCCTGGCTTGGCCTATACAGTGAGACATTGTCACAATTAAAAAAAAAAAATTTCAGGAGGTGGGGAGATGGCTCCATGGCTAAGAGCACTCACTGCTTTTTCAAAGAATCTGGGTTCAATTCCCAGCACCTACATGATGATTCACAACTGTCTCTAACTCCAGTTCCAGGGCACCTGACACCTTCACACCAATGCACATAAAATTTTAAAATAAATAAATTTAAAAAAGGAACCTCTGGGGTGTAGCTCGGTGGCAGAGTACACTCAACACAAAAAGGCTCTGGGTTTAATACCCAGCATGGCAGAGACCTTCCGTCGTGGAGATCTGACCTCTGGTGCGATCGACCTTTAAAGGACTATGCTTTACATATGCTCTTTCTCTTTGTTTTGTTTTAAGACAGAGTCACTCTGCATCCCCAGCCATCCTGGAACTCATTCGGTAGCCCAGGCTGGCCTCAAATTCAGAGATCCTTCTCTCTCTGCCTCTGAGTGCTAAGATTAGAGGCGTGTGCCACCACTCTGGCTCTTGACTTTGTAATCCTCCTGCCAATGCTACTACCTGAGGAGGGCAGGCATTCACACTCCTGCGAGTACCGAGGCAACTTCCACCAGCTCATCTGCTGAGAAGCAGCCCCTCCATGCACAGCAGTGGTTCTCAACCTGGGGGTCATGACCCCCGGCAACCCTCTGCCTCCAAAAAGATTTTAACCGTAGCAAAATTACAGTAGTAACGGAATAACCTCATCTCAGGGTCACCACAGCATGGGGCCGCACTACTAGGAAGGTTGAGAAGCGCTGCCCTACAGCTCCTGCCTCACAAGCTGGTCTTCGGGGTGCCTCAGTGAACACAGCGGGGAGCACAGGGAACTGCCCTCCATTTTGCCCTAGAGCAATAACCACCTGTGCAGAAAGCAGCTCAGGGTCTACTTCCTCAGCCCTGATTTTTGTCTACAGCCCAGGGGAGAGTTTGTGTGCCCTGACTGCTCCGTGTGCATTTCTGGTTGTTCCTGAGCCTTCAGGGCATGATTTTTATAAAAAGCCACCTCGGATGCCTCCTAGGGAGCTGGGAAAATCTCTCCAGGCTTTGTGTGCCAGGCTCTGTGCAGAGGCCTTGCTCTCCTCAACTTCTAGGCCAGGGTGTGCATCCGTTCTGCCCCTGGGCCGGGAGGAACACTCGAGGCGGATGGGCTCTTCAGCTTTTTAAACACACATGACTGTATCCGTACCCCTCCAAATCAGCTCTGTAGAGAGGCCTCCCACCCACAGTTTCCTTCCCACCGCAGCCTGCTTCCTGCCCCTAACCAGCGGCCTTTCATAGCGGCTGCACAGACAAGCAAACACAGGCGCACGTTTGTCGCTCTTCCCAAAGAGCTCCTCCCGCCAGCTTCTCTTTGTGCGCAGCAGTATAGCACAGAGGTGGCGCTGCCTTGTCCTTCCCCACAGCTACATTTGACATCACTCGGAAATAGACAGCTGGCTGCGCAACCAAATCTCCGGACACACGGCTGGACCAGTTCTCTGCAGTTCCATGAGACTGAGTCCTAGCTAACAGCATGAGCGAAAGACTAACTTCCAAAGCTGGAGAAGAGATGGTTCTGGGGTTAAGAGCCCTTGCTGCTTTTGCAGAGGACTGGGGTCTGACTTCCAGAACCCACGCCAGGGAGCTCACAACCCTGTAACTCCAGCTCCAAGGGAATCCCACACCTCTGGCTTCTGCACTCATGTACACATGCCCAAATGCAGATAGACATTCATATATAATTTAAATTTACGTATGTATATATGTTACGTTTATATTTATTTAAAAGTCTAACTTCCAAGCACATCTATAAAAGCTCTCAGGGACTCCCTGCCTGTGCCTTTCTGCTGGCCTAATGTTTGTAGCACACGTGGGTTCAAGAGTGAGGAGGGTAGAGCCTGAAGGTGAATGGAGCCCCGGGCAGGGGTGTGGCTCAGGGGTAGAGTGGCTTTCTAGCTTGGGCCAAGCTCTAAATTGAATCTCAGTTCTGAAAGGAGCCTGGATCCCTGGACTGCCTCTTGCACTCTGATGACAGTACACAGGAGAGAGACATTTCTATTGAATAAAGCCCCTGAGAGAGGTCTCTGTGCCCAGTAATTAGCATTCCCTGCGGCCCTTAGAGGAACATATCAGTTCCTCCCCACTGTCTGCTTTCAGGAACAGTGAAGCTCATACGGAACACTGGACTAAAAACTGCTGGATCAAAAAATAAGAAAGAAAAGGAGGGAAAAACTGCACATTTGTGCTGCTGATGTCTCTAACACACTGCCTTCCTTGGCTGTGGAGGAGGCTAACTCCCTCACAGGGGGTAGCGGCCGCTGGGATCCATAGGTTTCACAAGAGGTGCTCAGGTGGCTGATCGCCCATTTCCTCTGGGTCTACCTGGACAGCGGCCGCTGCTCCTCAGTGCCGGGCTCAGATCTCAGGCAGATCGGTCTGGACTCCAGCACTGGGGGGGGGGGGGGGGGGGGGGGGGGGGGGGGACCTACTTCTCCACTCAGCAAGTAGTCACTAACGCCCACCAGAGTCCAGGTTCCACCTCGCCCACAGGCACATGTGTCTTTAAAGGGGTGTTGAGACATAAAGAGGCTTTGGGAACAAGAGTCCCAGATTAAAGCTGATTCCACCATCTTCTTTTCTTTTTTTAATTTTAACCTTATTTTATGTGCATGGGTATTTTTGCTTGTGTGAATGTCTATATGCTAATGTGCCTGGTGCTCATGGGAGCCAGAAGAGGGCAATGGATTCCCTAGAACTAGAGTTTCAGATGGTTATGAGCCACCATCTGGGTGCTGGAAATCAAACCCCAGTCCTCTGGTTTTCTTTGTTTTTTGTTTGTTTTGGTTTTTTGAGACAGGGTTTCTCTGTGTAGCCTTGGCTGTCCTGGACTCGATTTGTAGACCAGGCTGGCCTCAAATTTACAGAGAGAGCCACCTGCATCTGTCGCCCTGAGTGCTGGGATTACAGGCACAGACCACCGTGCCCGGCAAACCTGAGTCCTCTGGAAGAGCAGCCAGTGCTCTTAACCACGAGCCATCTCTCCAGCCTCCCCCATTTTCTGTTTGTGGGTTCTTAGCCATTTCCATGCTTCTCTTCATCCGATGTGCAGAGGTACTGACTCATTCACTCTGTGTGTATGTATGTGTGTGAATGAACAAGAAAAAGCTACCACATTTTGTTTTGATATTAGAGGGTGAAGAAAGATCAGGGTAGAAAAGTCTGGGCTTTGGAAGACAGAAGCCACACCTCTCCGTCACCACGTCCCGAGCCAGGACAGTGTCATGCTCTCAGGGAGGAGTCTTGGGACCCTCTCAGAAGCTTTCTTGGCCACTGGCCTGCAGGAGACAGGTGGCTGCTCCTCAATACTGTGATTTGGGGAAGGCACTCTCCTCCAGCCGTGTAGTACACTGGGGCCCTCAGTCCTAGTGTTCCAGCTCCTCTGACCGGGAAGGTGACACACCTACACAGGCCACCCCAAATATCCTCTCCCTCAGGCACAGTGACTGGTCCATTCGGACCATGCACTCTACTCGAGGCCGCAGCCTAGAAGCTAAGAGGCTCTTTGCTGTTTGATTCTGGGGCTGTTCAGGCCCAGGCCTGGGTCTCTTGCCACTCTTTCTTGCCTGGAGTTTGGTGAGAATAAAGGCCACATGCGCACAGGGAAACTGAGCCCAGAGAAGGGGGTTAAGAGCACAGAGCCGACAGGCCTGAGACCCTGGATCTCACTGCACTGGCCTGAAGCCAGCCTGTGCTCTTGCCAGCTGTGTGAGCCAGCAAGGCTGTGGGGAATGTATTGCTCTGGGTCATCCTAACCGTTGCCATACCTTCAGGGTCATCAGGTCCAATCCACCAGGGAAGACATTGAGGACAGTCTTCCCGGAAGAGGCGTCCTGTAGGATCCGCAGCGCCCGCACACACTCTCTCACCCGCTGGTGCACCTGCAACATAGCCGGTCTGCAGGAGCATCCCAGGGCCACACGGCGTGACCCTCAGGCCCCCACGAGCCCATGCAGGTGGCAGTGGGCGAGCAGGCCTGCCCACAGTGGCTTAGCATACATGCCGTGGCCCCTGCAGCTCACGCAGGTTCACTTGACAGCATTGTGAGCGGGCCCAGGAGCTCAGGTTGCACTTGCCTCCTCACAGGGCCTTCGGGATGGCCAGATGAGAGCATTTTGCAAACACAAGGAACGGCGAGTGCTCCTGTTCTCAAGCCTGGATGGTTCGACTTGCCCATTTACAACACAGGCTGTTGCCTTTGCCTGCTCTTCTCCCATTAGTCTCTCCTTTTAAGGACTGCCCCCAACTCCAGCCTTCCCCTAACAATCTGACAACGGATTTGGGTGGGAATTTTCATTTTGCCTTTCTCCCCGGACCAGGAATTTTCAATATGAGCTTGGCTCTGGAATGAAGGACAGGGAGCTCTGTCGATGAGCTAAACATGTGCAAAGTCACAGCTGGTGGGAGCAGGTAAGCCAGCCTGCAGGTGGTGGTCATGGGAGACGAGGATGGGCTGGTCCTCTAAGTCCCCGGTGGCTGTGAGGCTGCACCAGGTTAGTGAAACCTGCCCTGCCTGAATGAGACCATCGGCTCCCTTGCCACCTACGCAGCTGGACTTCACCCACAACTGCAAGAGTCCTGTGATTCAAACCTTATTTATTCCCATGGATGTGGTGAGCTCAGACCCACTATGCTGAGGCTTCTGAGAGAGAACATTAGTTAAAGGTCTTGCTTGTGGTTGGCTGAAGGTCCACGTTAATGACCTGGTCCTCACGGAAGATGGAGCCTTTAGAAGGTGGGATCTAGTGGGGGGTCTTTACATCATTGAAGACCTGCCCTGGAAAGGGATTGTGGGATGCCAGCAACCCACCCAACTCCCCACCATCTGAGATGCTTCCTAGAGGCCCAGGGCAATAGGTCCTCCTGACCTTGGCTTGCTATTTCCAGAACTGAGAGCTAAAAACAGTGCTCTCTTATAAGGTAATTACTTCTGGTATTTTGCTGGAGAGATGAAAACCATGGGACCAGCACCACAACCACGCCAGTGGCCACAAATCTACCTCAGATTCTGATCACAGTCCTGTGACTATGCCAACGGGCACAGCCTACCTGGGGATTCCTAACGTGGAATTCCTTCTCTCCTTCCTTGATCTGCCGGAAGGGGATCCATTCCTCCTCCAGCGGTTCAGCAGGCTGGCTCTCTTGTGAGGTCTGCTTGTAGAAGTAGGTGGCCGCAGCTGACTGGTCTCTGACCCGCACATGCCAGCAGAGAAGGAAAGGCAATAGTGAGCTCCTCCCCCCTGCCCCCATGCCTCCCTCCCAACCATGACACACGGCGTCTCTGCTTGGCTGGTAGGTTAGATCGGCAGCCGCAAAGGAGAGCAGAGAAAACGTGGGTTGTCAGGGGACAGGTGTGGGTCTGGGCCCAGAGGCAGCTGTGTCATTTTCAGCCAGCTACCGGACATCTTTGAACCTTGGTGTTCTGTTCTTTTAAATGGATATAACTGTTTTGCATGGTTATTAGAAATAATACATTGGGGCTGGGGATGTAGCTAAGGGATAGTGTTTGCTAGTGTGTGTGGGTCTCATGCCCCGGCTCTGCGCACTAAACTAGAAAAAGATGTAACACACGGGCAGGGGACTGGCCTATTCCTAGCTACCCACAGGCCAACAGACTGCAGGCATCAGCAACATCTCACCTGTGCTCCACAACAGCCACCACAAAGCCATGGGAGGCCAGCTCCATGCAGAAGGCCGAGTACAGCGTCCTGGTGGTCAGAGGGAGACGAGATCAAAACCACGACCCAGCTTCACCCACCCTCCAGCAGGCCCACCTCGAAAGACTGGCTAGGAAGGTGTCATGGTGGCCCTCCCAAGTATTTTTCCCCAATCATGCAGCCCTTGTCCCCCAGGGCTCTAGAGTCCTCTGGTATGTGTCTGCAGGCCTGTCTTCAAACTGATGAGCCTTTCCACCCAGCTGAGTCAGCCACCCCAACCCCAGACAGAATCCGACTGCTCTAAGGTATGTGCGTATGTATATGTTCCAGCGTGTTAACAAGCGTGTACACGTGTGTCTGCATGTGAAGGCCATGTTGTCAGGTGTCTTTCTATCACTTGCTTCTTTCTAATCATCATCATCATCATCAGAGACAGGGCTTCTCACTGTACCTGGACCACCTCACTTCTGTGAGACTAGCTGGCCAGAGAGGTCCAGGAAGCCTCCTGTCTCATCCACCCTTGAACTGGATGACAGGTGTGTGTGGCCATGGGCAGATTTTAGACGGGTTTTGTGGATCCAACTCAAGTCGGTGTCAGGCTTGCACAGCAATCCTGTAACCCACTGAGCAAGGTCTCACTGTGTGGTCCAGGCTAGCCTTGAACTCACCAAGAGCTGCCTGCCTCTGTCTCCCGAGTGCTGGGATTAAGGGCGTGTGTCACAAGGCTTAGCATAACTATTTCTTAAAACCATGAAAGGACTGGCAAGATGGCTCATCAGGTAAAGGCACTTGCCTCACTGGCCTAGCAACCTGAGTTTGATCCCCGGAATGCACAAAATAGGTGAAAGGTGAGAACGTACTTCACGAAATTATTTTCTGCCTTCCACAAAAGAGTCCACATGTACAATATATGATAATAATAAATTTTAAACACAAATACAAATCAGAGTAATTTAAAATTTTCAAGTAGTCATATACATGTTTTGAAAAGTTAAAAAGGGGATGTTAGGGGTAGCTGTGGGGCTGGCTCAGCAGTTTAGAACACTGGCAGCTCTTCTGGAGGACCCAGGCTTGACTCCCAGCACCCACGGGGTGGCTCACAACCGCTTGTAACTGCAGTTACAGAGGATCCGGGACCCTCTTCTGGCCTCCACAGATACATGTGACACACAAACAAACGTGAGCAAAACAACTATACACATTAAAAAAAAAAAAAAAAAAAAAGAAGAAGAAGAAGACAGGGGCTGTAGCTCAGTGGCGGAAGACTTGCCTAGCATGTACAAGGCACTAGCTTCAAAATGTTTTTTTTTTTTTTTTTTTTTTAAGCCAGTTGTGGTAGCACACAACTATAATCTCCCGAAATTGGAAGGCAAAAATATCAGGAGTTCAAGGCCATCCTTAGTTACATAGTGAGTATACAGCAGCTTGGGCTACATGAGATCCTGTCAAAAAAAGGAGGAAGGGAGGGAAGGCAGGAAGAAGGGTGGAAAGAAGGGAGGGAGGGAGGAAAGAAGGCAGGCCAGCCAGGCATGCCAGTACACACATATTATCCTAGCACTTGATGATGGTTGGATCAGTTCAGGGCTATAGCCTTGTCTATGCATCAAGATCTTGTCTCAAAACAACAAGTAACAAGAAACATAGAGGGGAAGAGGTGGCTCAGCTCTTAAGAGCACTTGCTGCTCCAACTGCCTGTAGCTCCAGTTCCAAGGGAGCTGATGCCCTCTTCTGGCCTCAGTGGGCACTTGCACAAATGTGCATACACACACATGCAGACACACAAAACTAAAATTGTTTTTTAAAGTAAGAAAATCATATTAATGTTACTAATATGTTTTATTTAAGCTATAATGACCTATTATACCTATTTTACCTTATTTAACTATTGTAACCTACGTAACCCACTGTGATTTAAAATATAATTAAATTTTTAATTAATGAAATATTACTATATTCTTTGACTCCTGTGCAGCCTTTGGAGTCTGGTTCATATGTTACACCTGAAGCATGCTGCGGTGTTGACATGGAGCTGACAGCCTAGAATAGACCAAAATGGCTCTAACAAAGGAGATGCCCACAGCTGTGTTACATAGAACTAGCCAGGAGATTTTCCTTAAAAAAGCAGAGTTCCCCCTTTCTACTGCCTGGGATGCAGACATAATGGCTGGAATAAAAGCAGCTACCCTGGGTCAGGAGGTAACGTTAGAATGGAAGCCACAGACAACAGAGCAAGATTATCAAAGTCCGGTTTTCTGTTACAGTCATGTAACTGTAACAGCCACCCTAACAGTCTACCTCCGGCCCCCTGTCACCTTGGTTTTTTCAGTGTTTTGATGCAGAGTTTTATGTGCCCAGGCTGGCCTCGAACTCACTATTCAGCAGGAGATGAACGCTTGATCTTCCTGCTTCTATTCTCTAAGTGCTAGGGTTACAGGCAGGTGTCACTGTGCCCAGCCCTTCTAGCTTGCTTTAACTGAGAGAGAGATAAAGAAGTTTTGTTGGCTGGTTAGTGCTGTTTTCTTCGTCTATAGTCCACGCCATATTTACAGTCATGCTTGCCCTGTCTCCACTTCTCAGGTACTGAGAGTACAGGCATGCACCAGGACCCCAGGGAAGGAAGGAATGTTTTAGTTAACTTGGTGTTTTCTGTTAAAGATACTTTTCTAACTCAGACAGGAAAGTCAGTTTCTGAAGTTTCCTCTCAGTGTCCTTCCATGTCTCCAAAGAGGCGGTGAGCAGGGGTCGGCGTTGGAGCCCTTCCTGGCGTGCGCTGTGTGATGGAGGCAGTTGCTGCTTGCTACTCAGGGCCCAGTGGCTCCTGTCTGCCTACTGCAGAGGGCTGTTCAGGGAACAGGGGCATTCTGGGAGCCAGTTGGGCGGTATCTATACGCTCCTCCCTGCAACAAGGGAAGGACTTCAAGGTGAAATTAACCAAAGAAGCTACAGACAAAACTGTCCTCTGGTCCCGTTCTTTCCCTTCTCTTGGAATTTCACTCTCGGTTAAGGAGGGATGTCTGCACGGGCTCACTCTGGTCTACTGAGGAAAGGCACCCAACGGAGCTTCCTCAAAAGAGCCACCCAGTCACCTGGTCACTGCTCTGTCCAGCAGTGGGTGGCGAGGGAGTGTCTCCTTAGTTCTTTCTGCTAGGCTAGCACATAGCACACACACGCACACATATACACGCACCCACACACACAGGCTCTGAAGGCAGGAACTCTTCTATTCAAAGCAGGCTTTCAGTCCACTACAAATGGAGCCATCTGAAACCACATGCTCGCCTCCCCAGCCTTTTCCTCCACCTACTCTCTACTTCCGGCCACACCCTAGCTGTGTTTGTCTATGCCAGCTCCTCTAAGGTGAGGGGCTTCTGGGTGTGTGTATGTCCAGATTTCCCACTTTCCTTTTGTGCCAGGAGGGTGACAGAGATTGGTGCTTATGGAGGTTGGCTGAATGAGTGAGAATCCAGCAAAACAGCCCTGTGCTCCTTTGGGAATGAGCATTTAGTGGGAAACAATGACTTCCAGACACTGTTCCAGGCACTGGGGTGCAAAAAACGGGAGGTGTCTGTCTTCACAGAGGTTACAGTCTAGCAAGGAAGACAGACATTGGAATATAGTTATACAAGAAATAAACATACTGTAGGGGTGCCTCAGCAGCCAAGAGGGACTGTGCTTGCAATGTACCCAAATTTAATTCCTGGCACTCACATCAGGAGGCTCACAACCAACCACCTGTAACTCCAGCTCCAGGGGATCTGAGGCTCTTCAGTCTTCCTCAGGTACCTGTGCTCATGTACACACACACACACACACACACACAAAAGTAGAACAATTCACTTGCAGGCTGTTTGATCCCATTGTGAACCTCTGAGACTGTGAACTGTAAAAACATGTTTCTTGATTGGTGTGGCTCAGCCCTAACACACACCTTTAATCCAAGAACTTTCTGTTTACTGTAAACAAGAACTTGTGGTATGGCTCAGCCCTAGCACACACCTTTAATCCAAGGGCTTTCTGTAAATAGGATTAAATAAACATAACCCAAGGTCAAGAGGCGGATCAATAAACCAGCTGACAGAGATTAAAGGAGGGACACTGAGAGAAGGGTATTTAAGACACTGTGGAGAAGAAAGAATGGACTTTTGGCTTTTTCTTTCTGAGACATGAGATGAGCTGGAAGTGCTTTCTCCTTCTGGGATGTCTGCTGAGGAGGAAGGTCAGCAGGGTGCTTTCTCTGCCTCTCTGAGCTAGTATCCCAGCATCTGGCTTCTGAGTCTTTGTTGGTAAAATCTAATATTTGGGATTTTGTTAAAAAAAAAAAACACAAATCATTTATAAATATGCTCTAATTATATTAAGTATTGAGAAGTACAAATAGTACTTGAAAACTCAGCCTTATAGAGGGGTCAGTGCATACCTCTAATTTCAATAATTGAAAGTTTAAAACGAAATTAAGGGTTTTTTTTTTTTTTTGAGACAGTTTCCCTGGGTAGACTTGGCTGTTATAGAACTCGTTCTGTAGATCAGGCTGGCCTCGAACTCACAGAGATCCTCCTGACTCTGCCTCTGCTGGGAGGAAAGGTCAAGCTTTTAAAAGCTATTAAGATGTTTCATTTAGGGGGCTGGAGAGATGGCTCAGTGATTAAGAGCACTGTCTGTTCTTCCAGATGACTCAAGTTTGTGGTTCCCAGCAACCACATGGTGACTCACAACCATTTTTAATGCCAGACCCAGAGGATCTGACACCTTCTAGAAATGAGGGAGAGAGGGAGAGATGGAGGAAGGGAGGGAGGGAGGGAGGGAGAGAGGGAGAGATGGAAGGAGGGAGGGAGGGAGGGAGGGAGGGAGGAAGGAAGGAAAGAAATTTCATTTAGAAGAACACTCATGGTTTCATTAGAAGAACATTCATGTACTCCACAAATATTTACTGAGACCACAACCTACCAGGCCCTCTTCAAGGCACTGGACTAGCAAGAGGGGATTTGTGCTTGTTTTCCCATTTTGTTTTGAGACAGGGTATCACCACACAACACACACTGGCCTGACCTCAGGACCCTCCAGTTTCTGCCCTCCAAGAATGACCGACGTGAGCCACCACTCTGCCAGCTTTAAAACAGATCTACTAGGCTACGGTGTGGACAAAAGTCGGAGGGTTGGCAGCTTCTGAGAGTGTGGCACTCTGGGATGGACACCAGACATGTATGTTCATGGACGAACAGACCGAGAGCTCACTGGCAAACTTAAGTGAGAACAGGCAGGCTACAACTGTAAGCTGTGTAACAACCCTGTGGTGTAGACGGAAAAAGCCATGGGAGCGATCCCGACTGGACACTGAATTATGAAGGGGAAGCCAGTTGCACAACATCTGGTGAAAGAGATTATCAGATGGCTGTGCACCTAGTAGGCACCCCATCCAACTGAAACCTCACAAGCCGCACGAGGAAGCCACAGCCTCAGCTGGCAGATGGTGAAATCCGGCCTCCCGGAGAGTTACAATTGTCCCACTCAGACACAAGGGCCACGGGAGGTTAGGCTGTGCAGGCTGGCACATCCCCAGATAACCAGAGATTAACTGAAAATCAAAGGCATGACGGAGTCTTTGATTTCTGACCGTGCCTTACACAGGCTTTTCTGGAAATGTCTCTGCAGCCCTGGGTTCTGCACACACGCGTGCTGTGGACTGTACACGCCATCCTGCCCCACTGTGTCAGAAAGACTACCTGGGACACCTGGACGTGGATTTGATACTATTACATACTATTACAAACTGCAGTGTTTTTATTGTACAAAGATCTCTGTGCTTATGAAAGTATGATGGCTTCCTCGCAGAAAACAAAGACTTTTCACATTTTCCCACCACCGTTCCTGTGTATCCGGTTAATGATGGCTCGTGGTTAAGAGCACAGGCTGCTCTTACAGAACACCAGAGTTTGATTCTCAGCACCCATATCCGCTGCCTTATAGCTCCAGATCTGACCCCTTTGGCCTCTGTGGGCACCTACTCTTACTGCGCATGCCCGCACTCGGATACACGACCCACACTCACAATTAAAAAGAATAAAAATAAAGCTTAAGAAAAAAAAAAAAAAAGGACTGGTGTCTGAGTTGCTAACTTGAGTTTAAAAAAAAAAAAGTGTTAAGTAGATCTTGGCTTGAGATCAAGACAGAACTGAATTTTCAATTTCTGAAATGGCCCTAAACATACTTCTGCCATTTTGTACTATGAATATATGTGAAGCAGAATACTCAGCATCGATGATCATAAAACTGAAAATCAATCAATTGTGAAAAATGCTGAAGATCCTCTAGACCTTATGGCATCACAAGTTCAGCTTAGGGTCCATCCTTTGTACAAAAATAAATGAGCACACCTATCTCATTAGTATGCAAATTTGCTTTTGCTTTTAATGAGTGGTAAAATGACATGAATACCAAATCATTGTGTTTTTTTTTTTTGTTGTTGTTGTTTTGTGTGTGTGTGTGTGTTTCTTTTTCCTCCCAGACAGGGTTTCTCTGTATAGGCTTGGCTGTCCAGTATAGACCAGGCTGGCCTGCCTCTGCTTCCCTGAGTGCTGGGATTAAAGGTGTGTGCCACCAGGCCCCACTCCAAATCAGTTTTAAAATCCAACTCTTTTATGATTTCTTACCAATGAATGTTTGACCTGTATATTTTATACACTTCAATAGTGGGTGGTCATGTAAAATGTCAGGCAAAAGCAAGTTACAAGTGGAAAACCTTACGAAGCCCTGTTCTAGAAGCAGGGCCCAATGCTCTGCCAAGGGGCAAAGGGGAGTAAGATGGCAGGCAGACGAAATGTCTGTAACACAGCCACAATTCGAGGGACATGGCAAGGGCCAGGGACAAGCTCTTACCTGAAGCCTCCTAGGCCATGGGACAAGATGATCAAAGGGTATCCAGAGTCCTTTGTCTTAAAGGGGCCATTCCAGCTAACAGGCAAGCGACAAGATCCTGGCAGAGACACGGGCTGTAGAATCTCTGGCTGCCCTTAACTGTAATCCCATGGGCAGCCTGTGTACCGGCAGGGATGGGCATTTGTGGCACCCCCCCCCCAGCTCCAGAACCACCAGGGAAAAGACCTAAAGAGGCATCTGGGGCAGATCTGTGAAACTGCAAGGCCATGGGGAACACCTGGGGTGGGGCCTTAAGAGGAGGTAGAGAGAACAAGACTAGAGGGCATGCTGCAGGAGAATCGATGTTCACTGGGAGCCAAGAATGTCCAATCTAGCTGCTGGGGTGGTGGCAGAGCGTATGGCTGGTGGGGTGTGGTTCAGTGGTAAGTGGCAAAGCACTGGTCTACCTTGTATAAGGCCCTGGGTTTGATCCCCAGTACTGAATAAAAAATGGGTGATCTACGGAGTGGATAAGAACGAATGGTGGATTTAGGAGTCAGCACCACGTCCCCATCTGATGCCCAAACACTGCACAAGAGGTTCTAGTTCTTTCTACATACACCTGGAACCTCACCTCTACAACAGCTGGCAGGCAAGTGACTTGCCCAAGTCCCACTGCCGGTAAATGACAAAGTCTGGATTTGAATCCATGACCCAGATTCTCACACATTCAATTCTCTCCCATCTCTCCATACCATGGACTGGACTGTGCAAGTTTAAAAAAAATATGGTGTCTGCCTGGTTTTCTCCTGGGGACACAACCAGGCAACCGGGAAAGCACCCAGGTCCAGGCCAGCCTTATCGATACCCAGAGGGACAGGCCAGCCTTACCGATTCCCAGGTTGAACAGCAAGCCCACCCAGCGCTTGTTATACTGTAGGTAGTCAGCCAGGCCCATGCAGTACTCATAGCGGGGAATCCAGAGGGGCTGCTCGCACTTCTCCTCTGATGCTTGGCAGGGGTAGAAGAGTCGGAAGAGGCTCCCCTGGAGAAAAGAAGAGAACAGATGCTGGGACAAGAAGGCCAGGCATTGCGGATCAGCAGGAGTCTGGGCACCTGCCAGGCTGGATGCCAGAACACTCAGATCCAGAGGCAATGTTGTTGCTGGCACATCAGAAGGCTTCTGTTCTCCCGATTGTCAAGTTACACCCTGGAAGGGCACCTCATGTGGGCCCAGGCTTGGTGGAACAGGGGAACTAGAGGGCTGCTCTGAGGTTGAGCAGGTTGGCAGCAGTGGGCCAGCTAGGCCATTCCTTCAGACTGCCTCTCAGGAGTACGAGAGCGGTTACCAGGCAGTGGGTGTCTCTCACAGGAACAAAATCCTAAGAACTTGCTGGGCCATGGTGGTACATGCCTGGAGTCCTGGAGATGGGAGAATCAGGGCCTATGGTCATCCTGGGTTACATTTCCAGTTGGAGGCCAGCCTGAGCTACATGAGAAAACTCAGAATGTTGAAAAGGAAGAAGAGAAGGAAACAGAGAAAAAGAAAAGCCTAGAGACTGGCAGGAGGGTCAGGAAAAGGTAGAAAACATATGGAGACAAAGACACTGCTTTCCCAACCAAGGCGTGGAGTCAGGAAGTCAGTGCTTGGCCCACCCTGCTTCCTCACATTCGCCTACATCAGGATGGGATGGAAAACCTTTCATGGATCAGATGCTTGTGCTCAAGACAGGAGAAAGGGTCTATGAGCTGCCTCTGAAGCCAGAGGCAACCTCTCCTCCTCGCTGTAGGAAGAACTCAGTCTCTCATCAATTGGGAAGGTTCTAGGAGTTTGAAAGAGGAATTTAAAAAGGGAGGAAGACAGGCCTAAGGGCTGATGACTGAACCTAGCCCAGCTGCAACTTAGCACCCAAGAATTACACACTCAGACCTGTGGTGGCAGAGTCCCCATACAGGCAGCAGCTGTGGCACAGCACAGTGGCAGAGCTTGGGACACTTACCTCAAGACTCTGGCCCTCCATCACATCTGTGCAGCCCACGTGGTGGGGTCCCGAGATGGGTGGAAAGCACATGGACTGGCCGGCTCCCATCTTATCACCAGCTGGACCAAAGCCTGGGCGCTCCTGAACTTGCTGGCTGAAGGCAGAGCACACAACAGCCTCTTGCTGGACTGTTGCTTTTCATGTGCCAATGCTGTACACTTCCTGGCATCCTTATCACCCCGACCTTCCTGCCAGCTACTCACCAAATCATCTACATCATTTACCCTTGCTACTTTGCCAACATTTACATTTGCTTTTGCGGTGGTGGGAGGGAAGCCAGGGCCTTGCATTCCATTCCCAGTCCTAGGGACTGTATGCTTCATTTTCTTCTGTTGGGGTGAGGAGATGGTGGTGACAAGCTACTCCTTAGATTCCTCAAAACCTACAAACCTCAAGGATGTGGTTCAGCTGATAAGTGTTTGCCTAGCAGTCAAGAAGCCATGGGTTCGATTCCCAGCACTGCATAAAACAGCTGTGGCAATAAACACCACAGCAACAGCTGTAACCCCAGCACTGGGGAGCTGGTGTCCTGAGGATTAGGAGTTCAAGGGAACGTGGGATGCATGAGACCCTGTCTCTGGATTAACACATACAGACAACTGCACCGATCATTCGTCCATCCAGCAGTACCTGCCGTAGCAATCACAGCCCAGACCTCACCCTTTCCTGGCTAATGATGTTCACTGCGGTCCAGCGATTCCTCTGCTAGCACTGTACTAAGACCCTTATAGACACTGCCTCACCTAAACCTCTCAACAGCTCTCTGCGAAGGTAAGTATCAGGACCAATTTTACAGACAAGCAAACCAAGGCAGAGAGTTACCCGGGCTATGGGAATCTAACCCATAACCCACCCTGCTTAAAGCAACAAGATCTAGAATCCTATTCCTTACGGCCCAAACCACTCTCACTGGGTAGGGTCCTGGGCGCACATGTTTTGTTTTGATGTTATTCTGAGTCCTCCTCTGGGGGGATCGGTGTGCAAGCCAGAGCATGCCTGGGCAAAAAGTGAGCTTAGGAGACGGCTGCTGCCAGAGCTCCCTGCCATCACCCTTCTTCCGGCCTTGGTGCACACACGTGCACCACTGAAGAAGTCAATGAGCTGCTCAAGGTCACAGCTCAGCTGTTACTAAACACACACACACACAATCGCCCCATCACCTGGTCCAGAAGAAAATCCCCACGAGCCCCAGCCCAAAGAGCCACTCCACTTAATGCTGGAGGTAATAATTTTCTTTCTACTATTCATTTTTTCCCCCTTTTGCTTTGGCAGTACAAATTTTTAAGACGCCGCTATTACAAAAAGGGGGAGGGGCAGGAGAGGAGGAGCTCCGCTCCGTGGCCGGCGGAGGGAAGGGGGAGGAGCCTCGGCCGGTTCCCCCTTGGGGTCCAGGGGCACACACTGGAGAACTAAAACTGCAGCTCTAGGACACGTGTGGATCCCAAGACAGCGAAGCAGCTGCAGATCCTGTCATAAAAGAGAGATAAAACGCCACTGGAGTTCTGAGAGAGAGAGGGAGCATCCCCAGAGCGTGGGAGCAGAGAGCAGGGTTAGACAGGAAAGAAAAGTAAGTGTCGGGGAAAGGGCGTGTGACACACAGGGGCAGCTAGTGCCCGCAGCAAAGGGAGAAAGGGAGAACGGGGCCATGTGCGTGCAAATTCCCACGCTCTTGTGGGGGTGGGTATGAGCATCCACGCGCATGTGCAGGCCAGCCTCGTGTCCGTTCTCACATGCTTTCCACCCTTTTGTTTGAGACGGGGTCTCCCGCAGAGACTTCCAGGGGTCTACCTGCCTGCCTCTCATCTCCCCATCATTCCATCATTGAGATGACAGCATACCACCAAGTCAGGCTTTCTTAAAAATTACATTTATTTATTTAGTGTGTGGAAATGCGTGGGTGCCACAGTGTTGTGGGTGTCAGAGGGCAACCTGAGGGAGACCAGAGACCAAACTCACTCAGTCAAGTTTTGCAGCAAGTGTTTGTTTCTATCCACCGAGCCATCTCACTGCCCTCTGGCTTTTTTTTTTTTTTTTTTGGTGGGGGGGACAGGGTGTCTCTATGTAGCCCAGGCTATCCTGGAACTTGCTATGTACACCAGGCTAATCCTGAATTCACAGATCCACCTGCCTCTGTCTCCAGATTAATGTCATGTACCACCACACCCAGCCTTTTTTTTCCTTAATGTGAGCTCTAAGGATCTGAACTTAATTCCTCCTATCTGTGAGACAAGCACCCTAGCAACTAAGCTTTCTCCCCATGAGAGACCCAAGCCTGAGACCCAGCTCTTTTGCCACCTAGCTTGGACAAGTTAACCTGATCTCTAAGCATGATTTTCCGTCTGCATAAAGGAATTTGTATCAGTCTTGTGGTTGCTATGGAGATAAATGAAACCATGCAATTAAAGCACAACGCATAGTACCTGACTTGAGCCAGTATCTACATGTGTTCGGTGATTCAGAAACAAAGGAGTATGGTATGGCAACTGTGTAGATTTGTGAACCAAAGGAAAGAAGGGGAGGCAAAAGGGAGGCAAATGTTGAGAGTTCTGTGACTAGGATTTTTGTGGAAAGTGAATTTTTTTCCCCCCTCAGGAAAGCACATTTCAGAGTCATGGAGGTACAGAACCCTGGTGATCCTGGCAAGCTTGTAAGAGGGTGTATCTGTTAAATTCTGCTTGGAAATAAAAACCTAAAGAACACAACTGGCCAGACTGAGGCTGAAAACAGCTTGAGTTCCCCTGGCTCACGCTGACTGATGCCCATGAAGGATGAGAGTGGGGAATAAAAGTCAGTCTCACTTGTAAATTACAACAAAGACACCCAGCCTTACTTCTCATAAACACCACAGGATTTTCCACGGTGGTCGGTCAGGGGGGTTCCATTGTGTACCTTGGCTCCACAGTTCATGACAGTCCCTGTCCAGAGCCTCTCTATCATCCAGGCCCAGTGAGGCCTCCTAGTTCCCTGGGACAAGTTCCCAACCCCCCATCTTCCAGACTCTCAGCGCTGAGCACAGCCTCCTCCCTTACCTGGACTCCCAGCACAGGCTGCCTCAGGCTTAGGCCTAGGGCAGCGGCCTCAGCCACCAGCTTCTCACAGTGGTCCATGTGAGGTCTATGTCAGAGGTTCCTGAACCTACAACCCAATTGCCCCACGATCTCTAACAGTGTATTTCTTCCATTTGCAGAAAAAACAAAACAATACAAAAACAAAAACAAAACAAAACAAAAAAAAAAAACCAACAATGGTTGCTTTTTACAACTGAGCTACACTCCCAACTCCAGGGTGTTTCTGACCAGCGGGATTTGAGAATCTCTGAAGGAGGGTCTCTTCTTTCATTCAAACACACCTGCACCAAACACTGAGTGTACCCTGTGATGGTCACTATCCTCTCACTGGGAGAATGGCCCTGGCTACCCGGAAACACATGGATTAATGCTGACCAGATGGCTCAGGAGGCAAAGGAGCTTGCCTCTAAGCCTGATGTCCTGTGTTCAATTCCCAGAAACTACACTGTGAAAGGAGAGGAATTCTGTCCCCGCCCCCCTACGCTGTCCCCTGACCTCCTCACATTTACCACAGCACGCAGGTACCCAGCCACACGAAGACTAAATTAATGTTTTTAAAAGTTACTTTCTCCAATGAGTGCCATTTAACTTTTGCACACTTATGCCTTTCCTTTTCATGGGAACTCTAGGGGGTAAAGACCCTCTTTATATCTGCATGACAAAGTATATGTCAAAGCTTTCCACAGGCAGCAAGACCTCACTGTGTCTTCTTTTGGTTTTGATTTTTAAAACTTTCAATTCTTCTCCTTGCTTATCATGAGATAGGGTCTCTCTGCGCAGCCTAGCAGGCCCCTATCTTTGTTCATCTCCTGGAAATTGAACCCCGGTCCTCTGGAAGAAAAGCCAGTGTTCTTAACTGCTGAGCCATCTCTCCAGCTCCCCAGCTCAATTATTTTTTAAAATTGTCATGTTTATCAGGAAACAAGGCTCTATACGATAGAAGGAAAAGAAAAGTTTTGGTGACTTTGAATTCTATTTCTGCTACTTACCAGCTGGCTATAAGATCTCTAAATAAATAAATAAATAGAGCATGGATAAATGGATAAATAAAAGCTGTCATATACTTAAACATATTTATTATTGTTTATTTATTTATTTATTTGAGGGGTGCCATGACACCACCTGTAGAGGTCAGACAACAACCCGCAGGAATTATCTCTCTCCTTCCACTCTGTGGGTTCCTGGAACAGAGCTCAGGTCATCAGTCATGACAGCACCGTTGGAAGGACCCTGCTGTTTGAGGCTGCAGTCTCCCCAGTCGGGATAACAGGACTCCCTCTCCCCAGCAGGGCCTCCTGCACTCTGCCTGACTTCATCTGCAGAGTGTCTCTAGACATAGACCCCCCTCCCCCCGTAACCACACTTGATATATGGCCTTTGACAAAGCTCCCTTCCAACTCTCCCCTCCCTGAGCCTTTAGGATAATTAGGTACTGTGTTCCCATTCCTATGATAGAAGCATGCCGTTCAATGCAAAGCAAGCATCCTTAAAGTGCTCAGTTTTAACCAATTATGTACACCTATCCTTGGAGCCCCTACTCACTCCCCAAGGGGTATATAGCCTTTGCTCTCTGGAATTAAAGGTGAACTAGCTCCCTGAAGTGGCTCCCGGAGTGTGTACTCCCATGGTGCTCACAGCCTTCCAAGCTCTGCACCTTGTCTTCTGCCCTCCTGCCTTCCTGGGCTGCTGGCCAACAGCCCCCCAGGGAGGAGGACCACACAGCACCCTTACTCACTGAGCCACGGCTGTAAGACCTTCAACAAACACCTTAAACCCTAAACCTGCCATCTACAGCTACTCATGAGCTTTGAGATTATATGTGTAAAGTGTCTAGCACAATGAAGACACTATAACTCCACGGGGCAGCTAAAAATAATCATTTTAACGAACTATATGACCACCCCAAGTCTAACTTTCTTATATGTAAAATAGGGACACTTCATAAGTGTAGTTCATGAAAACTGATACAGCCTAAGGCCACTGTCATTACTCATAAAACGTCAGCAACTAATCAGCAATGCTGGCGGCTTCCATTTTTCCTGGGCATAGACCCTTTTGACAAAATGAATTCTTCTCTCCCAGGCTTTTCCTGTCTTCGACACACCTACCAAAGTCCACTAAAGAGGCCCAGAGGAGCCCAAAGGGAAAGCTGCTTTCACTGCTGCTCTGTCCTTCTGCCAGCCCTGTGGACTTTTCATCACCGGCTATTTCAGGCCAGAGTCCAAGATAAGCAACCCTCTTGGGATTCCTTTCAGACACCGCTCTCTGAAGACTATGGGCTCTAGGCCTGTCTGATCTTTGGTCTGAAGGAAGTGGAGAAATAACCTGGTCTTAGATGAAGACATCAAGAGCTCAAGGGACAGGATTGAGCAACAAGGCAGTAAAACTAGAAAAGTGGGCCCTGACGAGAATGTTCTAGGGCACCAACACGCGGCACAAAGAGAACCTCTGTTCTGTTGCTTGTGGAGGCCTTGCAGTTTACAAAGTATTTCCATACACTGTGATAGACAGGAGGAGGAGGAAAGAGGAGAAGAGAAGGAGGGAAGAAGGGAAGAAAGAGGAGACGGAGGGGAAAGAGGAGAAGGAGTAGGGGGAGAATTAAAGGCCCAGAGAGCCTGTGCGATTTGCCCAAGGTCACGGAGAGTGAGGCAGAGTTCTTTGCTGCACTTCAAGTTCACAGCAGTGCGCGGGAGAATTTGGAAGCCTTCCTCCACCAGCATGGAAACCAGGATAGCGAAGAGTGGAGGGCAGCCCAAAAGATTTCAAAAAACTGCCCGCGCTCAGGGACGTGAGAATCACGGCGGGAATCTTGGGGCCTGCGAGTGACAAGTCTGCGGTGACCCTGGGAGGGCTCAGGTGCGGGATGGATTCGGACGGGACTTGTCTGAACAGGAAACAGAGACGATGAAGAGCAAAGATTAGCGTGCAGATCCTGGGACTGAGAGAAAAGAAGGCCCCACGCTGGACTATGAAAGAGTCTTCGGAGAGCTCAGTTAAGAACTGGAGCTTTCGTCAAACTTACCCACTCAACGCTGATCCCTCAAAAGCAACCTCACAAGGGTCACTCGACGGAAACCCGACACCGCCTAGGAGCCCGTGGCCCTCTGGGAGTGGTAGTTCCTCTCTCTTAACGTGCGAGCTTAAACCTAGCTCCTGCCTTATGTTACACTACAAGTCCCGAGGCGCAACGCGAGACACAGCGCCTTGTCATTTCCCAGGACTACAATTCCCAGGGTTCCTGACTACGCCCGTGGGCGGTGTCAAATCAAACGAGGCTGGGATGCGGTGAGGTTGCTCCCCCTGGTGTCTGAGGAGCAGTAGCCGAGGTGAAACGTCTCAAGCGGAGGGTTCCAGTGCTGGAAAATAACCCTCCGCCTCGCCGGTCCTCACATAGTTCCCAGGCGTTCCTGGAAACGCTCCAGGCTTCACTTTGTTGTCGGGGAGAGTGATAATGGGAGGCTGTTTTCTGCTCCTGTAGATATTATTTCCTGTGAATATCTGAGACTGATTGTTGAGGATACATCACGCCGCTTCTGGTGACACCTTGAATTTTCCATTGTTCTCAGAAGACTCAGCTGAGAAGAGGGAGGAACCTGAGAGATCTTGGGGTCCACATCGCAACCCTCCTTCCCCTCTTCACCTCCATTTGATTGGCCCCGTGCTGGGTGTTTTGGAGACACACTGATGGACAAGATATTGTCTCTAGGGTTAGCAGAATTCAGAAAGGGTTGGGAGAACCCCAACAAGTGTGGGAGCCTTGAAAAGCACCCGCCCAAGCTAGGGAAAGGGAGCTGTGTCTAGAGATACTTAAAGGAAGAGATGGGTCAAAAGGAAAGGATTTTAGCAGTACAGGGAGTGTGGAAATTTCAGATGAGATGTCGTGACTTAAGTCGTACAGAGGCTGGACTATGAATGTCAACAAAAACTGGACCATCCCAAAAACTCAGAAACCGTAAGTGTTGGGATACGTCTGTAGTGCCAGCATTCAGAACACAGAGGCTGGGCCTAGACTACATTCTGAGACTCCATCAAAATACCACCGTTGACACAGCACACACACACATACACACACAAAAAAAAAATGTTCACCAGCTCTTTACAGCCTGTCATGGTGGTACACGCCTTTAATCCCAGCACTCAGGGAGGCAGAGGCAGGCAGATCGCTGTTTGAGGCCAGCCTGGTCTACAAAACGAATCCAGGGCAGCCAAGGCTACATAGAGAAACCCTGTCTCAAAAACCCAAACAAAACAAAACAAAACCCAGCTCTTCACAACCTAATGAATGAGGTCCCAATTTCTTACCCTAGCATTAAGTGCCCCCTGACTCCACCATTGCATTCTAACTCCTGACAGGACCCCCAGCTACATGCAATGAAAGCCTCAGCAACCCAGGGATGCCTTGAGTTCTCACTGTTTCCCGAGGTCTTCAGCGTGACTGGGTGTTCTGGTGTCTCCAAGTGCTCTTCCCTGCCTGGTGAGCTCTTTACTCTTGCCCTGCTTCCACTCTCTGAGACTCCTTCATGACTCCCAGCATCCCACCCCACCTCAGCTTCCTCTCAGTTGTTGGAACATTTACAGACTTCTGACTTCTTACTGGGTGTTTTTGCCTTCACCACCTTGTAGCATCAACCAGGATGAAGGTCTTTTGTTTGTTTGTCTTCTTCTTCCTCTTCTTCTTCTTCTTCTTCTTCTTCTTCTTCTTCTTCTTCTTCTTCTTCTTCTTCTTTTTCTTTTTTCATACTATTTTTCTTGTAGTCTTGGCTGTCCTGAAGAAAACTGAGATCCCGGAGGCCACCATGTGCTCCACATGTCCCTTCGAATTATTGGCTGGAATCCTGCTCCAGGTTCCTCCAGGCTCATCTCTCCTCCTGGAACATGCTGCCACCGCTGACCTTCCAGGAGCCATGATAAGGTCATTGCAAGGGTGGAAACAGGAATACATAAGTCACAGATTTAATGAAAGCTGTGGTCACTGCCGGTGGACACAGACCAGAGAAGTGTTAGTGAGGACTGGAGAAGGCTCTCTTTGTCTGATCCAGGCCATACAGTTGTTGCAGAACACTCTTAACAACACAGAGTCCCCTTGTCATGAGAGGAGGTGTCTGGAGACGGTGTATCTCCATCATCTAGGCTTGCTGACCACCAATAATGGAGGACTTCCTTCAGGTCAGCTACCATGCCAACACTAACCTTTTCCCCGTGCCTAAGCCAGCTTGAAGGATATTTGATCAGGAACATATAAAAACCTTTTTGTCCAGGAAGAAAAGAGGCTGGCTGTGGTGGCACATGCCTTCAATCCCAGCTCTGGGGAGGCAGCGGCAGGCAGATCTCTGTGAGTCTGAGGCCAGCCTTGTCTATAGCCAAGGCTACACAGAGAAACCCTGTCTTGAAAACCAAACAAAAAAGGAGGAGGAGGAGAGAAAGAAAGAAGGAAAGAAAGACAGAAAGAAAGAAGGAGAAAAAGGCAATCATTAGCAGATTGGTATCTTATACACTATGTATTTTGTGATCAGACCTGTATAAAATGGCTTCCCGAATAAGCTGAGTCCTTTGCTGAGTCTTCATCTTGGTGTTTGAGGTCTTGTCGACCCTGATCTGTCATACCAGGTTTAACTGGAATTTGGATGAACAGCTTTAGATTTCCTCTTCCTCCTCCCTGCTGAACTAGGACACTGCCTTCAAAATCAAGATGAAATTAGTATATAATAAACACCATCGTTATTATTATTTTCTTCTTGAGATGGGGTTTCACTATGTAGCTCAGGGTAGCCTCAAACTTGCAGCCCTCTTTCATCTCCCAAGTGCTGGGATCACCAACGGGAGACACTATGCCCTGTTGTAGTAGGCGTTAATATTTACTCTTGATATATCTCTTAGTAAAGCCTCAGTTAATCCTAAACAGCTGTATAACCAAATCACCACACAGAGGCTGGGATTTATTTAATTAACCTAGACCACAATGCTGGGCAATAGTTTTTCCATCCTAAACCTCCAAGCCCACATAGTTTCCTACCATTCACCCATTTTACTTGCTTTTAGTTATATCTTAGGTCATTCTCCACGTCATTCCAAGACCTCTCCTCCAGCCTCTGCTCTCCCAGCTTCTCTCCTGCCGCTTCTCCTCCTCTGCCTCCCACCTCTTCCTCTCCTCTGGCTCCTCCCCTCTCCCTCCTACTCCTTCCTCTCCATTGCTCTACATTGTGGCTGGTTGTTTTATTTTGGCATGTTTACACAAAGTTGAGACAAGTGATGCTTAGAATACGTATCACAATGCAACATCCGGATTGAAACCAGAGAGTGGGGGAGAGAAATAAGCATTTGAATGAAGAGGGGTAAGGTGTATACATTCCAAAAGAACATTATATCAACAATGCCCAGCCTGAACATCCTAATACATTTTAAAACTTTTTGAAAGGTTTACTTTTATCTTATCAGTACATGTAAGTATATGCATGGTGCCTAGAAAGACCAGAAGTGAGGGCCAGATCCCCTCGACCTGGAGCTAAAGGTGGTTGTAAGCCACCAAGTGGGTGCTGGAAATTGAACCCCGGTCCTCTGGAAAAGCTGTCAGTGCTCTTAATCACTGAGCCATCTGCCCCTTAAACACTCTAATCGTAAATGTATAGCTCAAAATTGTGTGTGCAAGCATGCATGTGTATGTATACGGTGCATACCTATGAATGCCTGGGCTCCTATGCCTGTGGGTGTGCGCATGGAGACCAGGGCTGTCCATTGGATGTCTTGCTCTATCGCTCTCCATGTAATTATCTCGAGACAAGTTTCCTACTAAAGCAGAAGGCCTTGGCTAGGCTGACTTGCCGGTGAACTCTTGAGGATCACCTGTTTCTGCTCACCTATGTTGGGGTTCTGGTAACACGCAACCATGCCAGCCAGGTGTGCAGGGACACACCTTTAATCCCAGCATTTGGGAGGCAGAGGCTGGTAGGTCTCTGAGTTGGAGGCCAGTGTGGGCTACAGAGTGAGTTTGAGGACAGCCAGGGCTACACAGAAAAACAAACAAACAAACAAACAAACCCTGCTTGAAAAACAACAAGAAGAAGCAAATACGCAACTGTACACAGCATCCTTCCTCCCTTTTCTTTTTTGTTTTTTCCAGACAAGGTTTCTCTGTGTAGCCTTGGCTTGGCTATCCTGGACCAGCTTTGTAGATCAGGCTGGCCTGGAATTCACATTGATCTGCCTGCCTCTGCCTCGATGAGTGCTGGGATTACAGGCATAATTGGGGATGCAAATGAAGGCTTTCATGCTTATATAGCAATCGGGCTTCCCCTCTGAGCCATCTCCCTAGTTCCCTATCCCTGATTTTAAATTTTTATTTTATTTCATGTGCATGAGTGTTTTTTTTATTAAATTTTTATTTTTTTAATATTAGTTACAGTTTATTATTGTTTATTATTACAGTTGTATCCCAGCTGTATCCTACTCCCTCATTCCTTCCCATTCCCACCCTCCCTCCTTCATCTTCTCCCTACCCCTTTCCAAGTCCACTGATAGCGGAGGACCTCCTCCCCTTTCATCTGACCCTAGCTTATCAGGTATCTTCAGGCCTAGCTGCAAAGTCCTGCATGGGTGGGTGTTTTGGCTGCACACGTTAAGCGTGCCATTTCCATGCCTTGTACCAACAGAGACCAGAAGAGGGTGTCAGAGCCCCTGAAACTGCAATTACAGACCCTTGTCATCTGCTATGTAGGTTCTGGGAGCTGAACAGGGAGCAGTGAGTGCTCTTAACTGCTGAGACATGGAGAGCCGCTTGTTTGTCAGGCTGCTTTGTTCTTGAGCTCTCAGCGAAAAACATGTTTTCACCCTGGCCTTCACCTGGAGACAGGGATAGGCAGGATGTTTTGCCAAGTCCACTTTCTTTCTTTTTTTTTTTTTTTTAAAATAAAAAAAAAAAAAAGGAAAAGCTCTTTTTTAATTTTTTTAAATTTATTACAATTTATTCACTTTGTATCCCAGCTACAGCCCCCTCCCTTATATCCTCCCAATCCCGCCCTTCCTCCCTTTCTTCTCCCATGCCCCTTTCCTAGTCCACTGATGGGGTGGTTCTCCTCCCCTTCCATCTGACCCTAGCCTATCAGGTCTCATCAGGACTGTC